CCCCTGGCGAGTCGATTTATTGATGGTAAATATTAGTTTAGTTTTCGTATAATGCAAGCAAAGTACTTTCTCGTACTAAAAGATCTTTACTAAACAGAACAAGTGCTGCTTTTGCAGAATATGTAACCGTTCTTATATCAGCATATTGATTGTCGGAATGTTGATTTCGACGGTACAGAAGATACACCTGCTTCAACGGAAAATGTCTGTTCTGGCAAAGTCGAGGGTGAATCGATCAACATCGCTCCCTTGATGTCATACGATATTCTGCAGACACTACTCGGGAGGTGGAAGTGCAGCTGAAATTTTGACCCGGGTTGAATATGATCTGGCGTGCTCCTCAGAAGAATTGGCAGCCTGGGCATAGAACATGAGCAGGAGTCTCGAGAGAGCATTCAAGTTAGTTCTTTTATGTGGTTATTTTGAGGTATTGGGTTTGGGCATAGAACATGAGCAGGAGTCCCGAGAGAGCATTCGAGTTAGATCTTTTATGTGGTTATTTGGAATCTGAGGTCCAAGAACATGAGAATTTTCCATCTGATCTTCAGAGAGAAATCGATAGTTCTAGGGAGCTTATATCTTCGTTCAAGTGGGGTGGTTTTGATCTTAGGGGATCGGACGAGAAGCTGTAAGATTGTGTGGATTTCTTGATGCTGTAACTGGACCGGGTCTTGGCCATAAAGAAGGAATCTGCCAGTTTCCATAAGATCCTGCTAGCTTCCTCAGGAGACGAAAAATGTAAGTTCATCGCGTTTTACATTCCATTACTGATATATTGACTTGAAAAGCTAGAAAATAGTGTCATAGTAGTTAGTTTGATTTGATTTTAACCACATTGAATTATTTCACTTTGTGCTGTCTTGGTCCCTTGTCCCGTTTAGTTCCTAGCTTTTCATTTGGAGGGCTCAGAGAGATCCCTGGCCCAGCTCTTGGAAAAGGTTTACTCGCCGAGTCCCAGCTGCTCAGCATGGATGATTCTGCTGAAAAAAATCAAGATTTGGGAGGTGAAAGCTGTCAAATCCGAAAAGAGATCCCAAATTGTTGAAGAATGAAAACGAAGCTACTAGCTTGAAGACTCATGTATTTGATGCAGCCAAGAGGTTCCAACAAATAAAGAGGCAGTTGATCACATAATTAGTGATGCAGTTGACTCTCGAGAGAGAACGCATTTGTAAGCAGGTTCGGTACAATTTCATGGAGTTGTTTACAAATAAACAAGCATTTTATGTCCTTTCATATATTACTGTTTTGATGTCTATTTTCCCTGCCTTTCCACTCCAAATGGTGCTGAAAGTTAGTTCGAGAATGTGAATGAACAAATTATGTTTTCCCCCAAATTTGGAAGAGCTATTCATCAAAGCTTGTAAAATAAAAATCAAAATTTAACAGCTCTCCAACAGTTTCTTGCTTCTTTTATTAGGAAAACGAAAAAGCCTTTGGTAGACGGTTTGGTGAAGTATTTTTACTGGTCGATGATGCTACACGAGTTATAGTAAAATTCCCGACCAAACACGTTAATTATTAGTAGTTTTTGGTACTTCACAAACGTGTGTGGCCTTCTTCTTACAATTTGTATGTGTTCAGCTACAAGTCATGTGGTTATTGTTCTCTGTATTTGCAGAAGCTTTCAAAATTGTTACTTGAATATGTAATCAATCAGTATGGATTTAAAATGAACTGTGAGCAAAGTGTTTGAAACTGTGGTTGAACACTTTGTTTTTTATAAAATGTATAATGAAGTATCAAGTATATCATTATATACTTTTTATTTTTTAACTTTAATAACACAAATTAAAGATTTAAAATAAACACTTTATATAATTAACAACAAAAATATATTCAAAAAAAAATAAATTCCTACACTGCTTATTTGTTAATCGAATGTTTTTACTAGAAAATTAAATCACAATAGATTCTTCATTTATGTTTAAATTAAGTACATAATTAAATCTTTATTACTTTTTTTATAATTTTGAGTTAAACGTCTTTTAGATTAATTATTAGGTTGGTAAAAAAATTAGAAAAGAAAAAGAACTTAAACAACATAAATATATATATATGTATATATACAACAAGACCATTTTTTACTTGTAAATTACTACCGATAAACTTTTTGGCTCTTAAGTTGTTACTTTAGTGTGTCTGTGTGTGTGAAAGAATAGGAAAAATTTTGTACATATTTGTGATACAAACTGTTTGATATAGCTCATATATTGACAAAGGAAGGAGGCAGACTGATGCCTGCGAGCGTAATGGAACGAACGTAGCGAGAGAAGAGGAGTGACCGAGCGAAGTGAGCGGAGTGGAGTAATAAAGATCCCCCAGCCGCCGTGGACGTAGGCAGATTGCCGAACCACGTAAATCTTATGTTGTTTACTTTTCTCGTTTTTAATTCGTATGTCATATTGTCATCATCAATCAACACAAACTTCTAGTGTGTGTGTGTGAATGAAAAGCAAATTTTTGTACATGTTTGTGATACAACTAATACTATGAGAGCAGGTGCTTTTTTTT